AGGAATTAGTAGGGGGAGGAAAATTGTAAATCTTATTCCACTTACTATTTTTTGGTTTGCTTGGAAAGGAAGAAATCAAAGGGCTTTTGAGGCGATTGAAGGAGAGATTACAAGGATTAGTGGTAGATGTCTACATTATAAGAGTTCTTTGTGTTTAGGTCATGATATTAATAGGGTGAAGGATTTTAGGAATTTCATTGATATATTGACTGAAATGTAAATATTTTTTTTGTACATGGGTGACATCCCCTTGATGCCAATGTGTTAATATACACCTTATACTTTTTATTTCAAAAAACGAAAAAAAGGGGGGTTTTGCCTCTTCATGTCCTCAGATTTTCTAAAACAAACTTGTATTCGTCCGTCCTTCAACTAATTTCTGATTCCACCTCTTATTTGGACTTGTCTTTTGACAAATAATTTTGATATTGTTATATAAAAGCTAGTAATTGACATAATTGGCCTTTTCTATAGGTATCTTAATTTCACTACCTAGTTTGGGTAAGGATGTTAACTGCCTATGCGCTCTCGTTTGCAAAGCTACAATATCTATTTTGTAAAATAACTTAATGTCATTTCCGACACACGAAACCAGAAGAGATAAAATATTGTCATTGCATTTCTTTTCTATTTCTAGATATCAAAAAGTAATCTTACTTTCCTTTCTTTTGCATCTAGGGTTCACTTGATCAGTCCCAGCCTTTTCAAAAAAATGGAGCTATTGCTTTGCTCCTTGGTGCTTTCTACTTGCTCAGTAAATATGCAACCCACTGTACCTGGGTTACATCAGAGGCATACTCATCTCCCTCAATTGTCCTGGCTGCAAGGGGTGCTCATGGAAACAGAGTTATCTTTGATGATTACCGTGAGGCATACTTTTGGCTTCGTCAAAATACCCCTCCAGATGCTAAAGTGATGTCATGGTGGGATTATGGGTATCAGATCACTGCCATGGGAAACAGAACTGTGATTGTTGATAATAATACATGGAACAACACACACATTGCTACTGTTGGACGTGCAATGTCATCTTATGAAGATGAAGCGTATGAGATAATGAGGTCACTTGATGTGGATTATGTATTAGTTGTTTTTGGTGGGGTTACTGGTTATTCTTCGGATGATATTAACAAGTAAGGGTTAAAGTTTAGATTCTCTTTCTATTTTATTTTCCTTTTTTCTATAAGAAAAAAGTTCAAGCAGATATGCTGTTTGAGTGTGTTGAAACGCTAGAGAATACCCCTCAAAAAAGGAGCAGGAGGGGGCAGAATGACGCTAAAGGGATTGGGTGTTCCTTAAAAAAAGAATTCACACACGTTTTAACTGCTTGAAAAATGTGGCTTCAACTAATTGGCACAATGTTCCTGCTGAATTTCGTAAACAACTACGTAACTATTGTTTTTCCAATAAATTTTTACGAACAATGCTAAAGATCATTGTCAATATTGTTTTCATTTTTTGCCAACTCTATGGTCAAAGTTTGCAGATTTGGCTAACGGCTACATGGTTGTTTTAGTTTTTATCCCCTTTTCTGTTTCTGATTTCATTTCTCCTTATTTGCCAACACTTCTCATCTGCCACTAGATTTTTATGGATGGTGAGAATTGGAGGTGGAGTATTCCCCGTAATTAAGGAACCCGATTACCTGGTCAATGGAGAGTATCGAGTTGACAAAGGTGCAGCACCGAAAATGTTGAACTGTCTCATGTGAGTGAGCGTGTATTTATATAATCAAGTTTGTTTTTTTTTATCTTTTATTTGTTTGTTTTTACTTTTTACTATCTATGGTTTATCTAATGAATTATTTCGGGTAACTATAGCACATGTTTTATATATAGACAGAATCCATATTTTATAGGAAATAAGTGCAAGTTTGATCTAGCACTTGTTTCTTATAAAGATGTTCCTGTCTTTGATCATATTTGACTTTCTTCTTTTGTTCTGAGCAACATAGATGATCTAAGTATAATAATTTCTATTAGTTACTGCAACCTTTTTTAGCAGATATTGAAATTTTCAGGTAAATATTTTGGTCTAGAGATGAGTATAGTATAGGATCTTCAGGTCACATGATTGCAATTGATTGTTTCTTTTTCATGTCCTAGAAGTATATACTGATTATGAAATACCCTTGCACAACCACCTGCACGAGGGAGTTAATCTTATGTATGTCTCTTTTGTTACTAGGTACAAACTTTGTTACTATCGATTTGGGGAGTTGGTTACAGAATATGGGAAACCTCCTGGGTAAGTTCTATACTTGCACTAATGATCTTTCTCAAGTTTTATTTAACATTAATGCCAGCACAGAATGAAGGCAGCATTCAAGGAAATTTTTTAGGGAACAGCATTCAGGAATTTATTTTTATTACAACTGTATGTCTTCCTGTAATTGATGACGTGATTGGTCTGCTCAAGAATTTTATCCTGACTAACCAGGAAAAACTTTGGCTTATTGAAGATAACTTTTGACCATCTTTACAATTGGCATCTCTATATATACTGGTTACAGTTACAGCTTGTTGTCTGAGGCTTTAATGGATATTGGAGTTCAAAATAAAAAAATTTAGTTTTTGCACTGCAGTCATTATATATTCTTTTTCATAATCTGGGTAACTGTTTGTTGGTTGGATTTATTGCTCTGCACTGCGCATATCATCTAATGACTTGTGATAACAGGTATGATCGTGCAAGGGGTGTTGAAATTGGAAACAAGGATGTCAAACTCGAGCACTTGGAAGAGGCGTTTACTACATCCAATTGGATTGTTCGTGTTTACAAAGTCAAGCCACCGAACAATAGGTGGTGAGACTCTTTCTCAATCTCTCTCTTTATGGGAAATGAAAGAGACACTGGGTGAAATATAGCTTATGGAATAGCAGTTAATGATATAGAGAAAACATATTTTGGTGAGGGATCTGAGTTTATATATAACATTCAAGGCTGTCAACATGTTTTAGAACCAGTTTTGGAGATTGCTAATGATGCTGCCCCATTCACTTGTTCAAAGTATTGGGATCTAGATCATCTACATTAGAAATTCTAATAGACAATTTTTTATGAGATGGGGTTGCAACTTATTTTCCTGTTTTTTTTGTTAAAGCCTGCAATTTAGATTTTTGATGTGGCTATTGAAGAAAATTGCAGGGTTCAATTGGGAAATACTTAATTTTATTAAAAGATTATATAAACTTTAGTAGATGGTAAAAATTAAAATTTTCAAGTTGTGAGCTTGATGGTTTTGAGGGAAAGTAAAAAAAAAAAAAAAAAAAGAGTTTCATATATAAGTATGTACATGTATATGCAGGAATGTAATAAAGAATACACAGATACATACAAGATTCAAATATATGAATGTACTAAAGCAATTTTATAAAAAAAATTATACATGCATGTATTTCACATATAAAAATCTTTTGAAGATGTGGATTAATGTAGTAACATAAATATCAAACTATATGTATATAACATAACAATTTTATATATTATTAGAGAAATTTTATAAAATTATGATCACAAATAAGTTGTGCAAGTAGAATAC